GTCCTGGAACTCGTTCTATGGACCAGGCTGGCTTCAAACACACAGATCTGCCTGCCTCTGTCTCCCGAGTGCTGGGGTTAAAGGCGTGCGCCACCACCGCCCAGCGACATTGAACTTCGGATCCTATTGTGTGTCTCGCTGGATTACAGGCATGTACTGCCGTGCCCAGTGCAAATGCTGCTGGGATCTAACCCAGGGACTCATGCATATAGGCAAACACCCTATCAGTTAAGCTACATCCTCCGCCCTTGATCGATTTTTTTTTTTTTTTAACAGAAGCTTATTACAATGTGCAGCAAAGCACCGAGATAACACTTCATTATGTAGGGAAGCTAGGTGTTTCTGAAGATGCAGAAGAGTCACCATCATCTCAGGTACAAGGAGGACTTGACTTTTTGCCAGGTTTCTTAATTCTACCTGTTGCCAGGGGACCTTTCCACTCAGCTTCCCTCCCTGTTTCTTTGGCTCTTCCCGTTGTTCCTGCTTGCAAGCCTAATCTCCCTTCAGGGCTGGAAATGGCACCTGAAGCCCCTTCCATAGACCTTAGCCCTCTGAGTGAATTTTTGAGGCAGGCTCTCTCATTGTTGTTCTGGCTGGCTCCAAACTTCTCCAGCAATCCTCCTGCCTCAGCCTCCTGAGGAGCTCTGACGACTGTGGTAGATGCCTTTGTGTTTGCCAAAATAAAAGTATTTTTCTAATTCTCTAGTTCCGCTTCCCTCTTTTGGTTAAGTCCCCTCTTCCTGATGAGAAGGCATCTGTATTAGTCGGGGTTCTCTAGAGTGTCAACGTATGGAATGGAATCTATAAAGGGGATTTATTGAATGACTTACAGGCTGCAGCGCAGCTAATCCAACAATGGCCGACTGTGAATGGAAAGTCCGAGAACCCAGCAGTAGCTCAGTCCACAAGGCTGGGTGTCTCAGCTGGGATCCTGAAGAAGCCGGCTCCAATGCCAGTGAAGGAATGGATGTGCCGGCAAGGTGCGGGCAAGCACGCAAGGAGAAAACCGTCCTTCTTCTTCCATGTCCTTATGTAGACGTCCAGCAGAGGGTGTGGCTCATAATAAAGGTGTATCTCTGGCCTTAAATCCGGATCAAAGGTGTGTGTCTTCCTACCTCAAAGATCCAGACATGAAGTGGATTCACCCACTTCGAACCAAGCAGAAAATCTCTCCCAGGGGTGCCCTCCATTTCTGGATTGTAGTTCACTCTAGATCTAGTCAACTTGACAACCAAGAGTAGCCATCACAGCATCTTTAGTGCTAAAAAGGAAGAAGAAGACTAAATAAATAAACAGAAGTTACTCAACAAGGCCTAGTAGTGAGTACCTGTTATCCCAAGTGCCTTTAATCCCAGGAGAGGCAGAGACTGGCAGATCTCTGTGGGTTCCAGGCCAGCCTGGGCTACAGAGAGAGACCCTATGTTTTACACATATCACAAATCTCTCTCTCTTTCTCTCTCTCTCTCTCTCTCTCTCTCTCTCTCTCTCTCTCTCTCTCTCTCTCCTCTCTCTTCTCTCTCTTCTCTCTCTCTGTCTCCATCTCTCTCTCTCTCACATACACACATTCACATTTAATCTCTTTGGAGTTTATGGTGATTGGTGTTGGGATTTTATTGAAGACTTTTATTTGTTTGTTTTCTGAGTCAGGATCACATCTAGGTAGCCTAGGCTGGCCTCTGCTCAATTGTAGTGGGGCTGACTTTGAAGTCCTTATCCTCCTGTCTTTACCTTCCAGGTGCTGGGATTATAGGTGTGGACCACACCCAACTTGACTGAAAATTTTTGTTTGGTTGGTTTTTTGTTTTGTTTTTCGAGACAGGGTTTCTCTGTGTAGTTTTGGTGCCTGTACTGGATCTCACTCTGTAGCCCAGGCTGGCCTTGAACTCACAGAGATCCACCTGGCTCTGCCTCCCAAGTGCTGGGATTAAAGGCGTGCACTGCAGCCACCGCCGCCGCCGCCGCTGCCGCCGCCGCCGCCGCCGCCGTCGCCATCATCATCACCACCACCACACAGCCTTTGACTGACAATTTTTAAACTAATTTTTCACATACTCTTTTGTATCCTCACTCGGTCTGTTCTTCATAAGCATCTTAGTAACTGTTTCACAGTTTCAGAAACCCTTGCTTCTCCACTTAGAATGGTGGCATCCCAAACATGCCACTCCCAGCTGGTTCCTCTCAGGTCCTCTGCGGCCCTCCTCAGGGCTGCTTTGGGCCTGCTGGCCTGGGCTCCTCCAGACAGCCCAGCACCCATGCAGAACTGGGGCTTGTTTGATCAAGTCATGTTAGCTGCGTTGCTTTGCTTCTAACCATGGAGGCTGGCTTTTTTAATCACTTGTCTGATATCATTCTTCCCTGTGCATGAGAGCATAAGCCCCCAAGGACTGGAGAGATGGCTTAGCAGGTAAAGGTATATACTGGTCTAATGACCTGAGTTTAGTCCCCTCAACCTTCAAGATACAAGGCAAGAACTGACTCCCACACATTGTTCCCTGACCTCCACATGTGCCCCGATGACATGTGGTACTAGCCTGGTACTCAGGAGCATTCAGAGTGTCCACTTGCTACTTCTGTGTCAGTGGCGGAGATGGCAGCCTCTGTGCACAGTGTTTTTTCTTTCACTGGGCTCTCCAAATCAACAGACAGATGACTTGCCAGCGGAGTGACGCACACTGGTACTCCTGGTGCTTGGGAGGCAGAGCCAGGAAGATCACAAGTTTCAAGCCAGCCTGGGCTGCATAGTGAGATCCTGTCTCAATCCAAAACCAACCAAACAAAACAAAATGCTCAGGCATAGTGGTATACACCTGTACTCCCAATGCTAGAGTTGGAGGCCATCGCATGGTGAGTTTGAGGCCATCCTGGGCTACAAGAAGCCATGTCTCAAAACAGCAACAAAAACCAGCCACAGAAAATAGTACTGCTCCATTCCTGCCAACGATGTCCCATTTGGTGTGATTTCGTACAGTAAATCATGAAGGGTATGAACTGTTTACCACTCCCAGGGGGATGAAATGGCTGTGAGGAGGGTTCTTGCTGCTCAGCTGATTGACCTGAATTCAGTCCTGCTGGGAACGAGCATGAATGAAAGAGAGAACCAACTTCTGCAAGTTGTCCTTTGAACTCACACACGGGGCACGTACATGTGCACCCACAATGAATGAATGAACAACTAAGCATAATAATAGGTTACCATTCCTTTAATTTTGAGAAATCATCTTTGTAGTGTAGCTGCTCTGCTCATTTTGGCTTTTCCTTGTGCCCCAGATCAGCTTTTGTTTGCCTGGCCACATTTATAGAGTAGCTTTTCTGGAGGTGTGCTTGCCAATGCGGAGGACAGGAAGAAGCTGGTACATGCTTCCGCTCCTAAGATTTGCCCCTTTTGGCCTTCCAAAGGTTGTATTAAATGTATTTATTACTGTTTTGTTTTGTTTTGGAAACAGGGTGCATATAACCCAGCCTGGCCTCAAACCTAACATGTAGCTAAAGGTGACCGTGAGTTCTGCTCTCCTTTCCTCTACCTCCCAAGTGCTAGATTATAGGAGTGTGCCACCATGTCCACATATTAGTGATGTTTTAAAAGATTGATTGCATTTCTGTGCGTGTGTCTGTGTGTATATACATGCAGATGGAGGCCAGGAGAGAGTCAACCCCAGAGAGCTGGACTTATAGGCAACATGATCCACCCACTGTGGGCGCTCAGATCCGAACTCAGTCCTCAGGATTGAATAGCAGCACTTTTAAGTGCTAAACCCCTTATGCCAGTTTCAAAAATGAAAATAAATAAATAAATAGAAGCCAAGCTATACTGACAGTGTTTTGTTTTGTTTTTTCAAGACAGGGTTTCTCTGTGTAACAGTCCTAGCTGGCCTGGAACTCACTAAGGTCCACCTGCTTTTGCCTCCCAAATGCTGGGTTTAAAGGCTTGCGCCACCAACGCCCAACTACTGATAGTGTTTTGCATGGTCCTTTGCTCTTAGCTTGAGGTGTCCACGTGGTTTAGGAATTCGAGGATGGTTAAGAAAAGGAGGACAGGAGCTGGGGATGTAGCGCAGGTGACAGAGCACACACCCAGCAGATATGAATCCTGGGCTACACCTCTAACTGCATAGACTGCACATGGTAGCTCACTCCTGTGTTCCCAGCACTTGGTGAGTGGGTGCAGGAAGATAAGTTCAAGGTCACCTCTGGCTACATAGTGAGTTCAAGACCACCCTGGGCTATGTGAGACTTTGTCTCAAAAAACCAAAAGAATGCCAGATGTGGTGGCACCTGCCTTTAACCCAGCACCCAGAAGGCAATGGTAGATGGATCTCTGTGAGTTTGAGGCCAGCCTGGCCTATATAATGATATTCAGGCCAGTCAGGATTCCACAGTGAGACCCTGTCTCAAAACTGCCACCAACTCCCCCCCCCCAAAAAAAAAAAAAAGATAAAGGAAAAGAGAGACGATGCTGTAGCTCAGTGTTTGAGTGCCATGGCTAGTTGTATGCTACACACACACACACACACACACACAGGAACAATATAGTTTAGTAGCTTGAGAACTGTACTTAGATCAACTGAATTTCCTGAGAATTGCCAAAAAGAAGAACCCCAGATGCACCTTTGGTGAGCTGATTCAGGGAAGTGTTCTCTTTCTCTGCGCACCTCTCCTGGTTGTCAGTAAGGAGCTGAGTTCCACTTTGGAGTGAGGAGAGCTGTAGCCATCCTCCGGTTGGATGAACTATGGTAGTGAAATTAGTAGTGGCTAATGGGTGTGGACAAACAAGGGCAGGTTCTCCACAGTCCTCCATCTGGCTGCTCCTGGGAATCTCTAGAAGAACATTAATCATGATCCTGACTCAGACCCAGCCTGAGGGGCAATTATTGGACAGTATGGGGTGTGGGATCAGGATTGTGTAAGATTCCCAGTGGCTCTAGTGTGGATAGCTGTGGCAGGACTGGCTGCTGTCATTGGTGACCTGAAATGCATTTACTGAAGGCTTTACAACCCCTTAGGTCTGCTTGGGCTTTTGGAGACGAAGACCCTTCAAGACCAATGATCAGATGCCCCAGCAGCTGGCCAGAAGCTTCCATTGAACAGGCCCTCAGGTGCACTGACATCAGGTAGGTCTGGGAAATGTGGACCTTAAGGACAGATGGGCCATGTTTCCAAACTCCTAGGACCCTGCCTGGTGCCCAATCTGTGAAGGTTTTTGTTGTTGTTTTTGAGACAGGGTCTTGTTCTGGAGCTCAGTCTGGCCTTCTCCCAGGGCAGTCCTCCAACCTCTGCCTCCCAAATGCCCGTGTCACAGGTGTGAGCCACCATGCCTGACCTGAAATGTGGAGCTTTGGGTGCTTGCCTGCAGGGCACCAAAAGATGCTCTGGCTTCTGACGGGTGATGATGGCGGCCAGGCTCAGGCTGCAGTTTCCTGCCTGGAGTGTAAGCCTTCCGGAGCTTTAAAGATAGACTCTAAAACGTTAGCTTCTCATTCGGTGCTTCTTGCTTTGCCAAGAACAATCATGCTTTAAACATTTCAGACGTTCCTTCCTTGTGTTTGTGGTGCTGGACTTGATGAAGCTTGGCTTTTCTCCAGGCCCTGACCTCCCCTGGGGACTTTGCTGTTGACACCCCCCGCCCCCCCCGCGGCCCCCCCCCACACCCTACCCCCCACCCCCGCCAGGTGCATTTGCTGACTTTTCCCCTGGTTATCTTTTCCACACAGCCCTGCTGTGCCGCCCCACCTGGCTCAGGTGCTTGGGCTTAATGAGGTGCCTGGCATGACTCAGTGTTTGATTTTCCCTGTGTCCAACTCATTACCTTTGATAGAAATACCTCTTCTGACCTTCGAGAAGTGAGAACTCATGGCTCAGTACTCAAGAGAATATACACAGATTTTGCTTATGGCAAAAAAAAAAAAAAAATAACAATGTCTCGTGACTGTAGCCCCGAACTGAGGAGGGTGTGAGCCCAAGGCCAGCCTGAGTTGCATAGTTAGACCCTACCTCAAAAAGCAAAAACAGGGCTGGAGAGATGGCTCAGAGGTTAAGAGCACTGACTGCTCTTCCAGAGGTCCTGAGTTCAGTTCCCAGCAACCACATGGTGGCTCACAACCATCTGTAATGAGATCTGGTGCCCTCTTCTGGCCTGCAGTCATACATGCAGATCAAACACTGTATACATAATAAATAAATAAATCTTTAAAAAAAAAAAAAAAAAAGCAAAATCAAAGGGCTGGAGAGATGGCTCAGTGGTTAAGAACACCGACTGCTCTTCCAGAGGACTGGGGTTCAATTCCCAGCACCCACATGGCAGCTAACAACTGTCTATAACTCCAAAATCTGACACCTTCACACACACGTACATGCAGGCAAAATGCCAATGCATATAAAAACAACAGAAAAACATGGGCTGCAGAGGTGGCTTTATGTGAGTAGATTTAGTAGTATAAAATAATCATAAATATTTTTTATTATTTAGTATTATTTATATTATTTAGTAGTAGTAGCAGTAAGGCAGTGCTACTGTGGGCCAGGTTCTGTAGAATCTCTCTCTTTTTTTTAAAGATTTATTTATTTATTATGTATACAGTGTTCTGTCTGCATGTGTGCCTGCAGGCCAGAAGAGGGCACCAGATCTCATGATAGAAGGCTGTGAGCCACCATGTGGTTGCTGGGAATTGAACTCAGGACTTCTGCGAGAGCAGCCAGTGATCTTAACTGCTAAGCCACCTCTCCAGCCCCCTGTGGCATCATCTCTTTATATGCATGATAACTTAATCTTCAGTCTTCTAAGATACATACCTGACACACATGTTATCCTAGCACTGGGAGGTAGACAAAGCAAGTTCAGGAGTTCAAGGTCACCCTTAACTATTTAACAGTTTGAACCTAACCAACACCATTTAATATGCTGTCTCAGAGCAAATAAGCAAACATTTTTATTGTCTTCTAAAGTAGATGTGCCTCTTTTACTAGTAAGGAAGCTTAGTCAGTTCAAACCATTTTCCCAGGTCACACATGCTTAGGAGCAAGACTGTACCTCCAGAACATACTTTCACTTAAGATTTTGTTTGTTTGTTTGTTTGTTTGTCCCAAACAGGGTTTCTCTGTGTATCCCTGGCTGTCCTGTAAATAGTTCTGTAGACCAGGCTGGTCTCGAACTCAGAGATCCACCTGCCTCTGTCTCTTGAATGTGTGCACCACCATTTTAAATTGGCACTGGGGAGGCACAGACAGGTGGAGCTCTATGAGTTCAGGGTAAACCTAGTCTCCCATAATAAGTTCCCAGCCAGCCAGAACCTGTAAGAACCTGTCTCAAAAAAAAAAAAAAAAGTTTCTTTGAAATTGGAGTCTAGATCTTATGTGGCAGACTTTTCCTGGGGAGACGTCCACTCACCCATGACAGAATAAAGTCCAACTTGATGAATCGATGAATTTTTATCGGGGTTACTGAAGTCTCCGTACCCCGGTAGTGAGGACCTCCGCCGAAGTCAGGTCAGGCCAAATTAGTAAGGCAGGCTTAACCTGAGCAGGACCGGGGGAGCCCGGGGGAGGGCGGAACCACGAGGAGAAGACCAGAGGTGAAGTCTGTGAGCCAGACCTCAAATACCCTCCAGGGGTGGAGCCAGTGCTTGGTGGGCTTTTTCAGGGGCGGGGCCGGGGAGAGAGAGAGAGGTGGGACCGAGGTGGGGCTTCCACCTAAACCTCCCAGACAAGAATGTGGGTGAGGGGGTTGGGGATTTAGCTCAGTGGTAGAGCGCTGGCCTAGCAAGCACAAGGTCCTCAGCTCCAAAAAAAAAGAATGTGGGTGAGGGGTCACTTAAGGGAGCAGAGACGCCCTGAAAGCAGCTGGAAGCTCCCTAGCAGGCCGCCTCCCAGGGGCTGTTTACTCTTTCTGTAAAGCTGGCAAGGGTCCTTCCAGAATCTTTCAGGGTTCCACTCTGCCTCCCACTCCCTCCTGGAGAGACTGTTTCAATTCAGAGAAAACTGCCTTAGCACAGATCTCTTGGGAGTCCATTTGTGAGAACGTTGGCCGCATCAGCCTTTCACACCCCCCCTTTCCCATCTGTGTGCCTGACATATGAGCAGGAGGGGCTTGGTTAATGAATAGTAGCACATGACTCTGGTGTCCTCAGTTCTGGTCACCAGGTGCCCTGGTGGAGCACTGTGTGTTAGAGGAAGAACGTACCGGCTGCTGATTTTGTACGAGTTTTTGCCTTTTCCTGTTGTTTAGAAGTCGTCTTAAGTAGCGGGTGTTGGTGGACACTCCACACATTGACGTCGTTCTTCTTGGGCTGGTGGTCCACAGTGACAACTGTCACCAAGTGCCTAAGAATCAGAACACAAACTGAGCATGGTGGGGAACGCCACCTGTAATCCCAGCCTTTGGGAGGCGGAGGCAGGCAGCTCTCCGTAAACTCAAGGCCAGTCTGGTCTACCTAAGTGAGGTTCAGAGCTGCATTTGGAGACTGTAGGTTATTGCTGTGACAGACCTGACCAAGTTGTTTTTGGAAGGATTGTGGAAGGCCTTTGGAACCTTGAGCTAGAACAGCCATTGAGTGTTGAGAGCAGTGAGGATGATGGAGGCCTGGCCTGTGAAGCTTCAGAGGGGAGCAGAGACTTGCTTGTGAAGACTCTGTGGTGTCTGGTCAGCTGGGGCTGAGAAACTGGAGCTGTGATTACCAAGAGACCAGAAGCACTAAAATGAAATCTTTGTTTTACTGGGACAATTGATGCTGGCCAGTTGGAGCTGAGAAACTGGTGGTGATTAAGAAGAGACCAGCATCACTGATGTGAAGTTTTCTGGAAAGTGTTACCTCAGAGTTAGCACACAGAAGCTGTGTTCCAGAGGCACCCAAGGTTGTACCTCATGCTAACTTGGTTATGTTAAGAGTCACTGAAGACTTAGTGCTTGGGAGGCAGAAGCAGGCGGATCTCTCAGTTCAAGGTCAGCCTCAGCTACAGAGTGAGTTCCAGGACAGCCAGGACGATTACACAGAGAAACCCTGTCTCAGGGGGCAAAAAAAAAAAAAAAAAAGAAAGCCACTGAGGCAGTACAGGTTTTGAAGGCATGACGGGGTCATGGAGGGCAGCTGAGGCTTGGCACTATGAGAGGCCAGGAGAGGCCGCTGGTGAAGGTGCAGCCTCCGTAGCAGTTAAAGGCCCGGGACTGAAGGGGTCATGCAGAGAAGGTGAGGCCTGGCACCATGAAAAGAGCCCAGAAGAGGCTATTGGTAAAAGTGCAGCCCAGTTGCCACAGAAGACCCCAGCATTTTGGAGATGCCAGTACCATGCGTGACCACCAAGAACCCTCCAGAACAGCAGCAGCAGTGGAGTGGAGCCTGCCCGAGCCTAGAAGACGATCTGTGTGCGCTGTAGAGGGCGGAGCCAGAGAAGTGACCCAAGCCTCTTGGAGGAGCCCGGAACAGTGGTTCTCAGTTTTCACAGGGGTCACATAGCAGTTATCCTACATATCAGATATTTACATTATGATTTATAACAGCAGCAAAATTACAGTTATGAAGTAGCAGCAAAAATGATTTATGGTTGAGGTCACCACGACATGAGGAACTGTATTAAATGGTTGCAGCTTTAGGAAGGTTGAGGACCCACTGGCTTAGAAGATCATGAGTGGATCCCAGATATTGGACGTTGAGTTATTTATACACTATTGGGAGTTTAGCTTTACTTTGTTCAGATTGTGACTGTGCCCTGGTTCTTCCCTCTTTTTGTTTTGTTTTTCAAGACAGGGTTTCTCTGTGTAGCCCTGGGTGTCCTGGATCTCACTCTGTAGACCAGGCTGGCCTCAAACTCACAGAGATCCACCTGCCTCTGCCTCCCAACTGCTGTAATTAAAGGCGTGCACCATCACCGCCCAGTTGAGGTTGGATATTTTTAAAGAGACAATTTTTTAAATGTTTGAATTTGTAAAGCTGTGGGGCTTTTTAAGTTTATAAAATGTCTTATATTGTGATGTTTTTTATTAATGTGTAATTTTGGGGGGATGGAAAATAAAAGAAAGGTTGTGACTTAACAGTGATGTGTTTGTGTGTCAAGTTGACAAGGGATCATCTGGCTAGTTTATGTCAACTTGACAAAAGCTAGAGTCGCTGGAGAGGAGGGAGCCTCTATTAAGAAAATGCCTCCATAAGATCAGGCTATAGGCAAGCCTGTGGGGCATTTTCTTAATTAGTGATTGATGGGGGAGGGCCCAGCCACTGTGGGCAGGGGCATTGCTGGGCTGGGTCGTGGGTTCTATAAGAAAGCAGGCTGGGGCTGGAGAGATGGCTCAGAGGTTAAGAGCACCGACTGCTCTTCTAGAGGTCCTGAGTTCAATTCCCAGCATCCACATGGTGGCTCACAACCATCTGTAATGAGATCTGGCTCCCTCTTTTGTATAGATAATAAATAAATAAATAAATCTTTTAAAAAAAGAAAAAAAAGAAAAAAAAAAGAAAGGCTGAGCAAGCCATGATGAGGAAACCAGTTAGCAGTACCCTCCTTGGCTTCTGCATCGGCTCCTGCGTCCAGGTGCTGGCCCTGTTTGAGTTCCTGTCCTGACTTCTCTTGATAATGGACTACAATGTGAGTGTTAGCCGAATAAACCTGTCCTCCCCAAGCTGCTTTGGTCATGGAGTTTCATCACAGCAATAGCAGCCCTAAGACAGAGGTCTTGTCTCAAAACAAAGAACAATGCAGGATCGATGAGGCGGCTCAGAGAGTCGAGAGGTTGTGCAAGCCTGATACCCTGAGTTTAGTCGCCTGGATCCCATTAAGGGAGAAGAGAACCGACTCCACACTTGTCCTCTGACCCTACATGTGCTGGGGCATGTATGCATTCAGACACGTACAAAGAGGATAGCTAGTTAAGGATTTGTTTTATGTTGTCAGAAAGAAAGAAAAGAAAGCAATATGATTTGCATATGCAACAGCTCACTGCTGACCTTACCCGTTTCTTATCCTGTGCAGTGACCATAATTAAGCTCTGGAATGAGCTCAGAATGACGGATAACAAGGATTTAGAAGCTGAAATCCACCCCTTGAAGAATGAGGACAGAAAGTCACAGGAAAACCTGGGGAACCAATCGAAGGATGAAGAGAACTTGAAGAGCAAGCCTCTGCAGTCTCGACTGTCCCGATGCCGCACGGTGGCGTTCTTCCTTTCCTTGTTTATCTGTCTCTTTGTGGTGTTTGTCGTCTCTTTCATCATCCCATGTCCAGACCGACCTTTGTCTCAGGGAATGTGGAGGCTTGACTACAACACTGCAGGTGAGCCCAGGAGGGTCCCAGAGGCCTCTGGGGCAGGACTGTTACCTACGGGAGTCTGGTGGTCTTTGACAGTCAGCCCTGAGTGGCTGCTGGGTTTACCTCAAACTTGGAGATTTCAGGAGCCTTTTGGAACTGGAAGGACTGCTCTGGTAAGAGAGCAAAAGCAGACTTGTAGGCTACTAAATGGAAACAGTTCAGTGAAACACACCAACTGCCCGAGAGGTTAGCGGAGGCCCGTCAGCTGAGGGGAACTGTGCAGCAGATGTGGAGGCGCCCAGAGGTGTCCCGGTGGGAAAGCCAAACCAAACCACACGTTATTTCTGTCCCGTGAAATTAACCTTTATGAAAAGCAACTGGAAAGCCTTTCCTTTTTTAATTAGATTTATTATTTATCTATTTAGAGACAAGTTCTCACTTACCTCAGGATGACTTCAGACACACTGTGTAGCTGGGCTGGTCCTGAACTCCTGACTCACACCCCAGCTGCTAGCATTACAGGAGTGTGCCACCCCACCTGGTTTCATGTGGCACAGGAGAAGTCTACCACCTGAGCTACATCCCCAGTTCCCCAAGTCTTGTTTTCTTTTTTTTAAAGATTTATTTATTTGTGTTCATGAGTGCTCTGTCTTCTGTTAGGTCTGCACACCAGAAGAGGGCACCAGATCTCATTACAGATGGTTGGGAGCCACCATGTGGTTGCTGGGAATTGAACCTAGGTCCTTTGGAAGAGCAGCCAGTGCTCTTAACCGCTGAGCCATCTCTCCAGCCCAAGTCTTGTTCTTTCTTTCCTTCTTTTTGTTTGTTTCTCAAGACAGGGTTTCTCACTTTCCTTTTGTTGTAGAGGGACTTTGGAAATGAATTAAGTTCCGGTTCATCGCTCCTACCGTCAGTGCTAGGGTTCCTGTCGGCCAGCACTTACTTCCATTTTTGCTTCCCAAGCATCCGTCCAGATGGGTTGGAGGTGATGTGTCCATATGGTCCATCTGCTTGTTTGTTTTGGTCACTGTGCCTGACGATGTAGTGCCAGGGAGTGAACCCTGGGCTGCATGTGTGCCAGGCAAAGACTGACAACCTGGCTGTATCTCCAGCTATTTGTTTGTTTGTTTGTTTGTTTGTTTTGGAGCCGAGGATCGAACCCAGGGTCTTGTACTTGCTAGGCAAGCACTCTACCACTGAGCTAAGTCCCCATCCCTGCTATTTGGTTTTTGTTTGATTTTTTTTTTATGAGGTTTAAATTTTTCTTTCAGATTTGCTTTATGTATATGGGTGTTTTGCTTGCAGGTGTGTGTGCATACACATGCATGCCTGGTGCTCATGCAGATTAGAAGAGGACATTGGCTGGGCGGTGGTGGCACCTGGAGGCAGAGGCAGGCAAATCTCTGTGAGTTCGAGGCCAGCCTGGTCTACATAGCGAGTTCCAGGAAAGGCGCAAAGCTACACAGAGAACCCTGTCTAAAAAACAAAAACAAAAACAAAAACAAACAAACAAAAAAAAACAAACAGCAACAGTAACAAAAAAGAAAAGGACATTGGAGCCCCTGGAACTAGAGTCACAGACACAGTTGTGAGCTACCATGTGGGTGCTAGGAATTGAACCCGGGTCCTCGGGAAGAGCAGCCAGTGTACTTGCTCCAGACATTGCTTTTTAGACAGGCTCTGGCTGTGGAACTATTGCTGGCCTGGAATCTACTGTGTTGCCCAGGCTGGCCTCAGACTTGTTATGTAGCTGCGGCTGTGAACTCATCCTAAGCCTCCTGCTCCCAGTTCTGGTGTCCAGTGATGCTGAAGTCTTCTCATGTGTCTGCTCATCACTTGTACATCTTAGGAGAGATGGCCCTGAAATCCTGTACCTGCTTTGTTTGTTTGCTTGTTTGTCCTGTTTTTGGGTTTTTGAGACAGGGCTTCTCTGCATAGCCCCGGTTGTCCTGGAACTCGCTCTGTAGATCAGGCTGGCCTCAAACTCACAGAGGTCCACATACCATTACCTCCTGAGTGCTGGGATTAAAGGTGTGTGCCACCACACCTGGCCTGTATTTTATTTTTATTTTTTTAAAGATTTATTTATTTATTCATTTATTTATTTATTTATTTATTTATTATGTATACAGCATGTATGACTGCAGGCCAGAAGAGGGCACCAGATCTCATTACAGATGGTTGTGAGCCACCATGTGGTTGCTGGGAATTGAACTCAGGACCTCTGGAAGAACAGTCAGTGCTCTTAACCTCTGAGCCATCTCTCCAGCCCTGTATTTTATTTTTAATTGTGTCTAGGAGTCTGATCCATTTTGAGCTTTTGAATATGATAAATGTCCAACTTCATCCTCTCATAGTTTGGTTTTAAGCTTAGAGCTTCTCATTTGAGCCCTTGATGGAAGGAAATACTGGACCTTACAAGAATGGAATATGGCTGCCTCTTCTGAACAGATGTTCAAATTCATTTATTTATTGTTTGTTTGTTTATTGAGACAAGGTCTTTCTTTGTAACCCTAGCTCTCCTGGAACTCTCTATGTAGATCAGGCTAGCCTCAAACTCACAGAGATCTGCATGCCTCTGAAGAAACTGCTTGTCCTAGTGATGAAGATCCTGTTCTTATTGGGGGGAGCAGGGCACCTCACAGTGGCAAGCTGTACAGTGGTAGCATCAAGCCACTCAGAGCATTCAACCTGACCTTCCCCAAGACAGATGGCCCCTGGAGCACAGTCTGTGACTTTCTTTTTCAGTCCCGTATGAATTTCTGGCTATGAGAGACGTAAACAGGGACAGGATCCAGGACGTTCTCTTTCTCTATAAAAACACCAACAGCAGTAACAATTTCACCAGATCCTGTGCTGATGAAGGTAATTCCTGTCTAACAAGGTGGTCCCCATGGGAAGAGGGCTCTTTGTCCAGGCTCACCATCTCATTTGGGGCATACAAATGGAGGGAATTCAGGGAACCATCCCGTCCTTTTTTCTTGTAATAGAATAGGCTAGATAATGCTCTCAGTTCCCTCGCTCCACCTGGGGCCAACACCAGTGTCCCGGGAGACTCGGGTCTATGGGGATACTAAAGGAAATGGGCTGAGTCATGTGGCTGAGGCACAGAGTAAGGAAGACAAGAGGTGGCAGGACATTATCTGAGACTGACCGAGTGGCTGCCACCCCTGCCTTCCAGGCCTTTCTGCTCCCTGTGCCTTTGTGGCTGCCGTGTCAGGGGCCAATGGCAGCGTGCTCTGGGAGAGGCCCGTAGCCCAGGATGTCGCCCTTGCGAAGTGCGCCGTGCCGCCACAGTCGGACAGTGAGGCGGCTTCTGCCTGTATCCTCGTGGGGAGTCTAGGCTCTTCCGTCGCCGTCAACTTATTCACAGGTCAGCCCTCTGGCAAAGGTCGGTGGTTCTCACTGGAGGGGTCAGCCCCGGCGCTCCCCTGGGGGCTGCTGGCTGGGTAGGTCAGTGGTAGCAGCTCCTGCAGCTGCTCCGCCATGGTGCCGCTGTGGCCTCGCTCCCCACGGTTTGCATCTTGCTATGGATGCTAACCGAGACCACTAGTGTCACCTGCTGTGGGGGAGCAGCCTGGGCTCCTGTGGCTAGAGGGCTGGACTGAGCCTATTGATGGGCCTCTACTCCTAGAACAAGTCTCCGAGCCTTAATAGAACAGGCCAGAGGAAGAAAGGCACGCCCACCCAGTTTCCATGAGAGTTTCAGGGATCACGCTTGTGTGGCGAGTGCTGTAACCATCGAGCCATCTCCCTGTTCTCGCTGATGTTGCAGTTTTTTTTGCAAGGTCGTACCATACAGCCCAGACTGACCGGGCACTTATGTAGCCCAGGCTGGCCCCCCACTCGCAGCAAGCCTCCTGTGTGCTCCTCCCAAATGCTGAGATCACAGGCACGAGCCGTTGGGCCAGCTGCTTTGTGAAGAGACCGTCGTCTGGCGTCTTCTCCCTCGGGTGTACTGTGCTTGTTCGCCGACATTCGGGCCACTTGTACACACTCTTGTGTCTAAGTGGCCTCAGGGTCCCAAGGATGGGCGCCCTCACGTGCGTCTACCATTTGTCTGTCAAGAAGGGGATTTGGAGCCACTGTGTGTTTGGTTTTAGGGGAAACCCTGTGGAGCCACTCCAGCAGTTTAGGCGGGAACGCTTCCATCTTGAGCCCTCTGCTCCAGGTGCCCGACATCGATGGTGACGGTGCCCCAGACCTACTGATCCTCGCCCGGGAGGGCCAGGAGGTGATCAGCGTAGTTCTCAAGTACCCACTTACCTCCTAGCCCCCCTTCCCTTCTTCCTCATCCACTTCTCCCGACAGAGAATTTGTGTGGCCACCCAGCAAGGGTTCTCCCAGGGCTCTACGCTGAGGTCCACACACGCAACATCCTGGGAGGCTCCATCTCTACAGGAGCTTGCTGGCTTTTCCCATGAGTGGCAGAATGTACATGGCGTATGTGTGGGTTGGCGTGAGCCTGCAGCTACCATGGCCTGCAGCTACCATGGCCTCCAGCTACCATGCCTCCCAGGCAGGCTGGGCAACACATGCTCCCTGTTGGTCACTCTCCTCAAAGTACATTTCCCCCAGACCCAAAGAGTGTTGACCGCCCTCTCCCCTGCAGCTCCCTGGAGGTCCCCTTGCCCTCCCGCAGAGCTGGGCCTGTCGCTTCCCTACTGCCCTTTGTCACTACAGGTCAGCGGGGCCATCTATTCAGGCAGCACCGGGGACCAGATCGGCCACAGAGGCAGCCTTGGTGTGGATGGAGACGGAGGCGCCCTCCTCCATGTGACCAGAACGGGTGCTCACTATATTCTCCTGCCGTGTGGTATGTTGGGTGCCACGTTCTTGGGATGGGCTTCTCTCCTGAAGTGATGCTAGGCAGAACACTGGATGCTGGGCATGCGGAGAAATTGGGTGACTGGCCACCTTGGGGTCACTCCTGTTCATGAGCTGACACCTAGTCAACAATCAGGAAGCCCAAGGGCTGGACCGGGTGTGGCACAACGTGGTTCCAGCCGTGGGACTGATGGATGCTCCTGGTCCCCATGGTGACAGTGTCCTTCTGTGTTTGGAATAGCAAGCTCCCTCTGCGGCTTCTCTGTGAAGGGTCTCTATGAGAGATTTACTGGGAGAGATGGCCAGTTTAAGGAAGACTCCTACTGGGAAAACCTGCTCAATAGCTCTGCTCACCGGAGGCTTCTGCACAGGTTTGTCTGACACACGGGCCTCAGTTAGGGACAACCTCGTGCGGAGCACAGGACAGCCAGACTGTGGCCTTGCAGTACTGTGAGGACAGCATCTCTTTGGAAATGAGAAATGAACAAGCAAAAGCAGAGTAAGAATTGAGAAGGCTGGGGGTGACTCAGTGAGAGAGTGCTTGGCCAGCACAAATGAGTCCCAGGCTTTCATCCCCCAGTAGTAGAGAGAAATAATGTATGGGGAGATCATCCTTGATCCACTAACAGCATCTCATTTAAACTTTCAGGCTAGGGAACTGAGAAACATGAGGATATACCAGGGGGTCTGGGGGAAGTAGCCCCAACAGGCCTGCCTTGGTGAGGGGCTCATCTCAAAGACCCATATCCCACCGCCCCCCAACCCCCACCGCCTCCACTCTTCTTGTCTAGCTCTGGAGCTATTCGCTACCTGATGAATGTCCCGGGGAAAGCTGGCCAGGACGTGCTCCTTGTGAGCTCCGAGGCCTGTATGTTGTTGGATGGACAAGATCTGATGCCCAGGTGGACCCTTGGTGCAACTCAGGTTCTCAGGTATGTCAGTTGATGCTGAATTTGAGTGGGGATACACGCCTGCTCAGGACCTCAGCCTGTCCTGCTGGCGGGCAGGGAGGATAGACAATGGACTGGAAGGCCTGTGTACTTCCGCTGGAGGCCTCCTGTCTGTCTTTGGATCTGTCCTTTGTCCCTGGAGGGTCTGCTGAAGCTGCTGGTCACAGGTACCAGCCCCTCATCCTGGGTCCAGATGTGGGTAGCCCCATCCAATCCAGAAGCATGTGGCCATGGAAATTTCATCTTGTATCCCTGTACCAAGACATTCTGTGAGGTCTTCTTCCTTAATCTTTCCAGAAAACCCATCCTTGGCCACTACAAACCAGACACCTTGGCTGTGGTCATTGAAAATGGAACCAGCATTGATAGGAAGGTAGGCTGGGCTTCCTGTGTGGACTGGGAGACTACCTTGTCTGTGGCTGATGGCAGACCATGAAAGCAGACAGTGCTGAGCCCCAGACTGCTGCCCTCAGATGGGCAGATGGCACAGAGAGCAGCCTTTGTGGCTAGCATGGCTGAGCTACACATTCCTGTGCAAGCTGAGGCCGTCTGCCAGTAGTGTGCCCTCCCTCCCCAGATCCTACTTTTGGACCTCAGTACTGGATCTGTGCTGTGGAGCCAGCCCCTCCCAAGCCTGCCTGGGGGCCCACCATCCACAAGCCTGATGACGGCAGACCACCGCTCAGCCTTCTTCTTCTGGGGCCTCCATGAGCTTGTCAGCACCAGTGAGATGGTACGTGGTCACATGTTCAGGGAATACCCTTTGTTGGGATCTGGGGCGAGAGGGGCCGGACCCAGATCCCCTGGAAGCTGCCAGGGCCTAGACCACCACAAGTCCACTGAGTAGAGAGCAGAACTGTAGTGAGGGGGTACAAGGGGGAAGTATCCTGAAGTGCCTTAGGGCTACAGGAGAAGGATCTTGGAGGTTATAGCGAGAGCAGGTGCTGACGAACACCAGGAAGGACCAGGTTCAGGGGGTGGACGTAGGGCCTAACAAGTGTTCATAGAACAAGAGGTAGCCTTCTGGGGGACCCTGGTAGACATCACTCTAAACAAGGTACTTAGTTAACAGCTTTTGAAGGTAACCTAGGGCTGCCCAGGAAGGGACCAGGAGTTCCAGGGCCCACTGAGATGGAGCTGTGGCCCAGGTGTAACAGGCGAGTGAGGCACACTGCTGTTCTCACTTCAGGATCCCCAAGACACGCAGCACAGCCTGTACATGTTCCATCCCACCCTGCCTGGCATCCTGCTGGAGCTAGCCAACGTGTCTGCCAACATCGTGGCCTTCGATGGTGAGCTTGGGTTTAGGCACTGGGTCCAGGTCTTCCCCGACCTAGTTCTCTCCAGCTAGTCCTGAGCAGTACTGACTGTCGTCCCCTACAGCGATCCTGTTTGAACCAAGCCGCCACGCTGCCTATGTGCTCCTGACGGGCCCAGCAAGCTCAGGCATGCCTGGCCTGGTCTCTGTGATCAAACACAAAGTTCGAGACCTTGTCCCAGGCAGTCGAGTGGTCCACCTGGGTGAAGGCAGCTCAGACAGCGACCAGGCTATCCGGGACCGGTTCTCCCGACTACGGTATCGGAGTGAATTGTAGGTGGTGGTACCTGGGGCACATGGAAAGACTCCAACTGTGACAACAAAGCCTCCTGGAAAGCTGGCTTACCCTCAGCCTCCACGCCGACCTCACCGTTTGCCCTGGTGATCCTGGTCCTCTGGGAGCTATGGCCTTACCAGCTATTCCCAAGGATGAACACCTCCAAATCTCCTGCCTATACCATGTCCTCCGTCAAAGGTCTCACTGTGTGGCCCGTGTGACCTGGTCAAGGCCAGTAGGCCTCCCTGGGCCAGTATGGGCCGAGCCAGTCCTTCAGGAAGCCCCCCACTTAGTGCCTCCTTCCCCTCTCACTCTCCACTGGAGAAGCCGCTGCTGTGGGGTGCGCTGCTCCCGACCCCCACCTGTGACGTCCGTCCCTCTCCTTCCGGCCCGGCCCTCCCTTCGTCTGCACTGTCTCTCGGGAGTCATGGAGCCCAGAGGGTGGTGGGCCCTGGGCAGCCTCAGGGCTACACCTGGAACCTGAGACTCTGAAGCTGCTCTCCCAAAGCAGAAGGGAGCATGTCTCCTGGAAAGTGAGCAGCACGAGTTTTGCCAGCAGAAGGGGCCTGCAGTGGAGCCTGTGGGTGCACTTGAGGGGCCTGTAGAATACATGCTGACTCTGTCTCTCCCCTCAGTACACTGGACCTGCTGTCTGCACACAAGTCCCTGCGCCACCACCCCCTACCCCCCCATCCCCCGAGCACAGCAGGCACGCCCCTTTTCCTACTCTCTGGTGCTTACCTGATGCAGGTCTCACCTTGTGCCTTGTTGCTCCTGAGGCCCAAGGGCAACAGAGCAGCTCTGCCCAGATCCCTAGCTCTGTAGCCAAAGCAGTCCCATGACCCTAGCCACCATGAAAAATAACACAATAAATGATTTGCACTGATGGGGGAAAGCCCCAGTAGCCCAGCGTGAGCTTGCAATCTGTCTGGATGTCTCTCTGCCTGCCATAAACGGGGGTGGGGGGGGTGGGAGGGGTGTATTCTAAGTCATTGCCAGGAATGCCAGGGCTCCAAGGCAAGGTTAAGAGGAGAGTTGAGGAGATGAGAGCTTACACAGACCTGCCCAATAGGAACAAGCCTGTAGTCTTCTCGAACAGCCTCTAGGATGATCACCAGGGCAGAGGCTCCTGCTGTCCTGACAGGCATCCCTACCCTAGGATCATGTCCTCTGTGTTCTGTTATGCAGAGCAGTGAAATGGAAGGTCAGGTGAGCTCTAACTGTCTCTGCGCAGAACCTGGAAGGGTTTCAGGGCTTGACCGGAGAGCATCAGTCCTTCTGAGAACCCTTTGGAGTTTGCTAAACATGAACTTGTTCTCATAACCACACATGTACAAAAATCTCGTGCGCAAAAGCCTGAGGTGTCAACCTGAGGGCTGAGGTTGATGGGTAGGCGTTTTCAAGGCAGAAAGTGGGTCCCTCAACCCTGAGAAGTAAAGGTAACTCGGCATACACATCACTCTGAGAAGGAAGGGTAGTGGAGGAGAAGGGTCTACCTCCAGATTTCAGGAGACTGGCTCTCCACGGCACAGGATGGGGTGCAGGGTCCAAGGGCGGCCACTACTCAGAGCCAGTCTGGGTTGTGCGCCCTCCCTGAAGGCCACCTGGTGGCTGCTGAGGACGGTGACCTGTTTATGGTCATTAAGGGACCAGTTGCCCCTCTAGCCTGCCCAAGGTTTCTTAGGGTCCCCGGGCTTGCTTTGGGTCATCCCTCCTGCAGCTGGGCACAGCTGCTCCAGGGGACACTGGACAGATGGTAGCATCCTGTCTGCTCACAGCTTCTTTGACAAGGTTCTGGCTTTCTGTTGCACTCATACACTCATGTGTTTCCTCCAAAGACCGAGGCCCTCAGGTCTGTAGGCTGCGGCCACCGAAGGACTGAGAGGACGGGCCACTCAGCAGCCCAGACAGGACAGGCCCCTCCACGGGAGCCACTTAAACAATACATTTGTTTATTTGGGGTAGGGCTGTGCCTGGAAGTCAGAGGACAATTGGTGGGCGTCAGTTCTCTCAACCATGTGGGTCCCGGGGACTGAACTCAGGTTGTCAGGCTTGACCGCAAGAGCCTTTACCCACTGAGCCATCCTGCCGGACCCATGGTGGCTACATGTTTACCGGAACCACACTCCCGAGCTGCTCCCAGCCTCTCCACACACACCAACAGACACATCACACTCGGCATGCACATACTCCACTCACACTGCACGCCACCCATGGGTTGTGTCACAGATACTCGAGCCATGGACTTGGGCCAAGCTGGACCCACAGGAGAACGGACTAAGTCAGGACCTGAATCTTTTATTTCTGTGGAAATGAGTTGTGAGGAGAGACTGGAGAGCAGCCTGCCTGGGAGCTGCATGGCAGAAGGAGGTAGGTAGCACAGAGGACAGCCTGGTTAGGGAGACTGTTCCTTGGCAAAGACCTAAGGGACCACAGTCAGGACGACAGCAGGAACTGCCTTTCTCAGATCTGGTAAGACAGGTGGAAGAGATGCCGTGGATAGCGGTGAATGTGGTGCCTGCAGATACAGTCTACTGAGAAGCCACTGGGTTTAGCTTCGGCAGAATAGGGGACCTACCCAGCAGTGGAGCCATCCTCGATGGGACGGCATGGCCAGAGACCAATATCTCTTGATGTGTCAAAGACTTGATATTCTAGAAATGAGGTGACCACCTACTTCTGACTACAAAGTACCAGGAACTTTGAGGACCTTGATTTTACCTTCCTTGAACAAGTCCTATCCTGGTAAGGCTTAGTCAATGAAATCTCCTTGCTAGGAATCAGTGGCTGGACCAGTCTCTTCTAAGGGGGTGTGTAGGGATTTTAGTGGAGACTCAGGGCCCTCATAGCAAGGCTGGGATCTCTACACAGGAGACACCAGTGCTCGGGGACCAGTATCCAGGACAGCATGACTCCACAGGGTGTCAGGCGGGTGATGGTAAGCTGAGGTGACCCGCAAGATCCATCTACTCCTCCCCATTGCCACCTGCAGGGGTGCTGGTTGCTGGAGGCTCCCCAGGGGTAGATTGCAGAGCAGGGCTGGGACTTGAGTGCAGAGGCTTCCGCAAGAATGGAAATGCCCTGGGGACGAGAAAGTGCTGAGGGCCTGGTCTGCTCTCTGCAGGGTCTTCCCTGCTCAGCGCATATAGGGCACTGGCATGGCTCACCGGCGCTTGGTCTCCAGCGGGATCACAGCTTCCTCCAGCAGGCCCTTGTATATGTCAGACTTCAGGAACCTCGGGTAGGAGTCCTGCAGGAAACAGTGTCCAGTCTGACCCTTCACTTCCTAGCCAGGTCCAGCCAGGCATTGCTGGGGTCACCTTCTGCTCATAGGCCATGCAAGACTGGGGACTGGGGGTGGGGGGGGGACACGACCATCCAACACTAGCAAAAAACAAGACCTAGAGAGATCTGACACCCATCTGGTGGCAGCACCAGACTGTAAAACACAGGCAAGAGGTGCCGTGTTCACACACACAGGGATGAGCCAAGCACCTCTCCAGCCAGGCCTGAGGAGCCAGAGTGTCTCCACCTCTATAGAGGCAGGGCGAGGATGCGGAGTTTTAACTGTACAGCAGACCAGGCTTCATGGTTCGCACCTGTAATCCTAATATTTGGGAGGCAAAGGGAAGAGCTCATAGATAGCCTGGGCTACATAGTGAGATTATAAAATAAATAATCATCCTTCAAAGGGCAGAGCTCGTTAGAAAAAATAGAGAAACCCTACAAAAACTCACACTAAGGCCAATTGTAGTGGCGCACGCCTTTAATCCCAGTACTCAGGAGATAGAGGCAGGTGCATCTCTCTGAGTTCAAGGCCAATTTGGTCTACATAGTGAGTTGCAGGACAGCCAGGGCTATATAGAGAACACACACACACACACACACACACACACACACACACACGAGAGAGAGAGAGAGAGAGAGAGAGAGAGAGAGAGAGAGAGAGAGAGAGAGAGAGAGCAGGAGGCCAGCAAGGGCTGGGGAGTCACAGGATGTGACATTAAGATGACCAGGCCAGGAGTGTCAGCTTGAGTCCACGTGGGAGAACTCACAGATCACGGCTAAGGAACATAGGGAGACCCATTCTTAAAAAACAATACCTTTTTTTTTTTTTTTTTTTTGGTTGTTTGGCTGTTTTTTGTGTTTGTTTTTTGTTTTTTTGAGACAGGGTTTCTCTGTATAGTTCGGGCTGTCTTGGAACTCACTCTGTAGACCAGGCTGACCTCAAACTCAGAGATCCCAGAGATCTGCCTGCCTCTGCCTCCCGAGTGCTAGGATTAAAAAAAAAAAAAAGACACCAAGCCTGTTTTTTGTTGTTGTTGTTATTGTGGTGGTTTTTTTTTTTTTAGTTTTGTTTGCTTTTTTTGTTTTTTGAGAAAACAATAATTTTTTTAATGGTGTGATGATGCATGTCTGAAATCCAAGCACTCTGGGGTGGAAACAGGAGGATCAGGAGTTCAAAGTCATCCATAGCAAATTCAAGGCCAGTATGAACTACAGGAGACTGGCTGTAATGACAATGATGATGGTCAACTGTTGTGGTTTAAAACTTATTAAATGTGTTGAAATCTATGATTTTTTCTTTGAGATAGGATCTCACTTTGTAGACCAGGCTGGCCTTGAACTCACAGGGATCCACCTGCCTCTGACCCTAGTGCTAGGATTAAAGGTTTGCAACACCATGCCCCAAGAAAGCTACGAATTTATTATGGTATTAAATAACATCAAGAGGCTGAGGCAGGAGGCTCACCTACAAGTCAAAGGCCAGCCTGGACATTTATACATAGTTAGAAATTTTAGAGTGAGACCCTGACTCAGGCAGGGCAGTGGCGGTGCACGCCTTTAATCCCAGCACTTGGGAGGCAGAGCCAAGTGGATCTTTGTGAGTTCAAGGCCAGCCTGGTCTACAGAGTGAGACCCAGGACCAAAACAACACAGAGAAACCTTGTCTCGAAAAAACAAACAAAAAATGAGACCTTGACTCAAACTAAAGAACCTTGCTAACCACTAAACAAACACTAAGGATCTAGCTAATTGTTTTAAAACTGAGCAGTAGTGTAAAGAATCCCACTTTGACTCCATCTGTACCACTAGATGACCAGAGGGTACACAAGCGGGTGGGGTAGGGAATAGACAGCCCAGTCAAGAGACAGTAGGCAATGGTGGGGTCTGAACACCACCACACTGGTTCACTGAAACCAGGGCCGTGATTGGCAGTGGCTGTGCTCACTCCTTACGAAGCCAAATAGACAAAACCCAACAGAACCGAAAGCAAACTAGGGAGGGCGGTGCTGGCGAGGACACCGGGATGTGCCCACCTTCTTCATGAGCATGTAGATATGCAGCTGGGCTGCGTCGAGGACATAGCGGTGCGGCTGGCGAAGCCCCTCCAGGGTCCACTCCATCGTCCGGCTGTCAATGTTGATCCAGCGGGCAGCTCCAGGGGCTAGGAACTGCCTGGGATACAGATGGTACAGAGTAGGCCTATGTGCTGGGGTCTGAGCGATGGCCAACTAGTTTCCACTTCCACACACTTACTGATAGACAGCATCCACCAGCTCAGGGACCTGGGCCTGCCCGCCAAAGCGCAGTTCCTCGCATGCCTCCCAGAAGCTGAGGTTTTCCGCTGAAGACAGGGCAGCAATCAGGCAGGGTTGCGGGTTCGCACTGAGCAGGCTAGAGAAAGCCTGGGACAGGGTCCCAGGCAGTGGCCTCCCTCCCTTGGGGGTGCCTATAGGGCCTTCTCACCGCTGAACTCCTTCTGGAGAAAATCCATGAAGTGGCCACGCCCCACGGGGTCATCCAGGAGCTCCCGGAAGCTGAAGCCCCAGCGCTCAACACGCAGCTTTGTGGGGGCAGCCACCCTGGAAGGGGAGGGGTGAGTGGGCTGCTGATCCTGCTACCAGCCGGGGAGCGCTGCACAGTGCCACCCAAACGTTTACCCAGGGCTTACGTGGGCGCATTCATGGCCCAGTAGGTGACATCGTCCGTGATCCAAGGGTTGCTGGGCAGGCACCCTGACATGATGGGATCGTGCGGGCCATGCTGGCTGCTGAACTTCAGGTACCTGGGGGTTCCAGGGGCCAGTACAGGGTGGCCTTAGGGACAAGAGGCTCTCTAAAGGGTCTGGGTTGGGAAGGGTCTCTCGCTGCCCCTCACTCACGCCTCGAGGCAGACAGAGGACTTCACCCGGTTCCTGACCAACGCCTTCCTGAAGCGCTCGATCTAGGACACCAGAGCTGAGTCAGGACCTGTGCTGGGGGATGGGCATCCCTAACCCCCAAGTTTCTAGGACCTACCTCACACTTGTAGAAATCTGAGCTCTAGGTCTGGAAGACACAGGTGGCTTGAGTTACAAAGTAGCCTTCTGGGTTTCAGGAATCTCCCTATGCCCCACCTAGGGCTGAGACCTTGCTCCACCAGGATATAGCAAAGAATGGCTCGGACTTGCAGCCCAACTTTTGGAGCCCCCAGGGGAAGCCTCTGACAGCCTGTATCTGGAGACTCTGAAGATGTTCTATAACACCCTACAGTTCTCCAGGCTACCTAGAAATTCTTCACTTGTTACAAACCTGTCATACTGCCCCCTGCTGCTGCATTAGCCAGGACCTGTTTCCTGGGTCCCACCTTCTCCAGTTTGGATGTTACCAGAGGCTTTGGAGGGAGGTACCTGCCGGCCCAGGGCCCCACGCCATAGCCTTGCTTGTCATTATTTCCCCTCCCTGGGTTTCTGGTGCTGTTTCAGCCTGGGGGAGGGGCCTCCCACCCTCCCCCAGGACCACCACTTACTTGCACCCAAGTCAGCAGGGGGAAGAAAGGAGGAGGACAAGAGTCACTAAGGGAGCCTGAGGTGGAGTGCAAGAGGCACTGAGACCAGGCACAGGGCAAACTAGGGACCTCAGAGCGGCCGCATCAGGCGCATTTAGGTGGATCAAAGGACAGACAGATGGATGAGCGGTCCAATGAACTCTGAAGTTCGTGCGGTGAGTGGAAGGGCAAACGTGTTAACGCAGCAGGCAGCGGGGTGCTGGGGCGGAATATGAGGTGCTTACCATCTGCAGTCGACTGGAGCTGTAAGAGCCCTTCTCAGGACCCTGCTCCAGAATGTTCGGTGCCCCAGGCTACGGAAAGACGATGAGATGGCGTACTAAGCCCTGTACCCCGACGGACTTCAATACCCTTTACTCTTCGGTGTGGAAACTGAGTCTGGATCTGGCCTTGAACTCCATCTCTCTCCCTACCCCGACTCAGGGTGGTCCCCTCAGATCGTAATCAGACCTTGAGGCATGTGCTAGGACCTCAGTTTCCCAGGCACTGCCCCCTGAAACCCAGCCCCTGTGCTGTAGCTGGCTCAGGCCCCACCTTGCCTCCTGGGACCCTCAGGTCCTGCCTTAGCTCTTTGTGTCTCCCATACACATAGTGAAGTTGGCTTGTTCTGTGGTCTGGGACTAGAGGCAGCCTCAGGCCTCACCATGTCACCTATGCATTCTCAACCAAGAAACAAACTTCCTGTCACCCACCCAGACCCTGAAATGCGCCATATCCTTCCCAGACCCTGAAATGCACCATATCCTTCCCAGACCCTGAAATGCACCATATCCTTAAGCAGGCAGTTTTGAGAGAGTATTTTTAGCAACACACACAGACCTCTTTTGACAGCCAGGGAGCCCCCTCTGCCCTCACCACACGAGGACTCACAGGGGGCTTGTTCACCAGCCAGTACGTCTGCTCCTGACACGAAATCACCAGCCTGTCTCCCTTCCGGCGCTGCTTAGCTGCCCTGGGAGGAGTAGGCAGAGGTGAGAGGAAGCTGGTACTACCACAGCACTCCCCACACTTGGCCATGGGCAGGCAGTGGAGCCTGTGATGGGAAGTTCTTGGCCTCAGGGGTGCTGGTGCCCAGCTGGCCATCCCGAGCATCCGGAGGAGCATCCTGAGCATCCCGAGCTCAGTGTCCCACCAGCTGTGGTCTGTGTCTCACCGCAGCTGCTCTCGAGCCTGCATCACTACTAGATCCCATGCATGGTTGATCTTCTTGTGCAGCTGGGCATAATGTTCCTGGAAGGCAGCAGGGTATCTGGTGGGTAAAGTGGGTGACCCCCACACCAGCCTAGCTCTGGAACATGGACCCCAGCTCCCAGGGACACTGCAGGGAGTTAATGGTGTGTGTGTGTCCCCACCTGGTACAGAAACCAGCTCACCCCATGAGATTCTAAACAGGGGCTGCCTCTCCTTCTGGGAACCCTAAGCCTCCCTTGGAGGTATGGGGGCCTTCCCAGTGAGACTGCAGGGCTGAGTAGGGGTACTTGTTATCTAGCAGTCTAGACAGTATGCTGTGTGTCAAGGGGTGAGTCTGTGCTGGACTTAGCCTGATGGAGGTCCCACCTTCTCATAGTCCACCAGGGCCCCTTGTTTCTGGATGTTCTTCTTAGCCAGGTAGATGGCTGGAAGGATAGGAGATTACGCAGAGGGGCCATCAGTGTCCAAACCCTGTGGCATTCATTGCCCTGGAACCACCAATTCCCAGACCGGATTTATATCCACTCCACTCACCATAGTCCAGCTCAGCAGCTGGCCACAGAGTGCTTGTCCAGAAGTAGGGTGTCTTGTGTTGTGCAGGGAAAATGAAGTCCAAGACCTTCTCATCTCTCTCCCAGGTACCCCGCACCCCCCACCATCTGGCTCCTAACTATGGTTGGTCAGAGGGTGCATCCTTATCTGGAAGCTCCAGCTGACCACTGCCCATTCTTTCTACCTGGAACTGAGGCCAGATTGTCACTTGGGGTCCTATAAAGGGACTACTTCGGTGACTCTGATTGCCTCCCCAGCTGACTGGGGAAGAAGTGGAGCCTGATAATCCAAGGATGTGGTCACAGTCTGAGCTTGGGGTGGCCTAGACACACACTGAGGTGCAGGGCTCCTATCACCACACAGCTGTGACCTGCTGCCGGACTCCTCCTGAATGCTCCGCACATTGCCCTTTGCATGTCTGCTGCAGCCCCAGGAGTTGAAGCTCTCGAGGCTTGCCACTGTCCAGATCTTTTGCGGGAGGGTGCGGGTCCGGTCCAGTGTGTCACAACATCCCGCTCGGACCCCAGTTAGCTCCACCCCTCCCCTGGTGGGGGTGCACCCTGCTACCCTGGGCTTGCCTGACCTGGAACCTGTAGGGCGTCTCATCCGGCCGGAGCGTCAAGTCTCGGGACTCACGCAGTGGGTAGATGTAGCCGTGCTTCGCCAGGAGTGTGCCCAGGTGCAGGGCCTCTGAGAAGAAGAAAAGTGAGCGCTCTTCCAGCGCCCAACCCCGCCCCAAGCCGCGGTGCGCCTGGACTCTCACCCTCCTCCGCGATGCAGAACTTCTGGACCAGCCATTCCACGAGGTCTCTGCCTGCACGGGAGAGGCGAAGTGGGCGGAGACCGCGGCGCCCTGCTCCCCCCAGGGTGTCCACGAGCCTCACCCGCTACCGCGTGGGGAATAACGGTGATCAAAAGGCGCTGGCTCCTCATCTTCACGCCCTGGTCGGGGTCCTGCATACTCACGACCACCCGTTCCATCTGAGAGCGAGCGCAGGAGGTGGGGGAGCAACTCAGATCGTGCGCACTTGCCCGCAGGTTCCCCAGACCACCGCGCAGGGATAACAAACTGGGGCAGCAAAGGCCCGGACCAGGGCCACCCAGTGCTGTCATTCTGAACTCCCAGTGTTTTCCCGGGTCTCCCCAGTGCTGTTCACGCCCCTCACCTGCCGCGTTCCACGCCCCTTCTCCTGTCCAAACCCTATGCCCACAGGCCGAGGACCCACCTTGCTGAGATGTGGCCTCTGCGTGCGGGAGAACCCGCCGTGGGGTGTGCAGCCGGCAGCCGTGGCCATGGCGGATGTCCGAGAGGAGACGCCCCGCCCCTTGCCAGCCCCTCCCGCCAAGGTTAACCGTGTGAGCACAGGTTCCTGCAAGACCAAGTCACCGGAGCTGTGACTTGTGATAGCCTGCCGTGGGGGCAGCCTGAAACCTCAGATGCCTGCCAAGCAGAGGAACCTGCCTTGGTCTGGTGGCTACCTACCTCAGGGCTTGGTCTTGGAGATGGGACATGTCACCAAAGCTCTGGAAAAGGACAGGTTTTCATCAGGGTGGAGACAGTAAGAAAGGATGAAGCCTAGAAGGGATGGAGGACTCCAGCAGAGGAGCCTGTGGCCAGGTGGACCAGGTTGGGAATAGTGGTACAGGGTCTTGGTAGCCACTACTCCATCCATGGGCCCTTAAGGAGGGCAGGGGCCAGCAGAGTCAGGGATGTGGGGTCAAGGCTGTCATCTGGCTGGCCCAAGAGTATCTTTTCAAACATGTGGCACCATGTATGGCCTGTGTGGAGCCATAGGATGGTATGATATAGCCCTCATTGGCAGGGTTACTGACCATTTATAAAAGGCATGACTGGGTCGTTTCTTTCCTGAGGATAGGGTACCCTCTTTCTCTTCCCCACCCAAGGAATGCTGGGAGCCAAAGGAGGGAGAACTGGCCTTACTGAGACCAGGAACCTTCAACATGTTATTTGAGTTGATTCCAATAAATCAGGGGGGTGGAGGGGTGTCCTGGTTAGATGTGTTACATCACCCGTAGATCCCAACCTTCTCCTGCCCCCTACTTCACCTACACACAAGGCCAGGCTGACCAAAGGCCATCCGCCCTCCCTGGATGAGTAGGCATCTATGGAGGTTTCAGGCTGCTGGCAGCTGAAGCTATCCCCAGCTAAGGACAAGTAATTTTCCTACCTAACACTACACACTTCCTGCAGGGCAGGGGTGGGTCTCCCTGGCTTCCTGGGCCTCCTTGCAGGGTCTTGCTTTGGAAAGGTAATGAATGGGTCAGTGTGGCCACTAGCCCAATGCCGCAGCCTTAACAGTCACCTGCTACTCAGAAAAGCAAAGGTGGATATGATCCCTGGTTATTCCCGGAAAAGAAAGACACTGTTCTGCTCAACTTCCTTACTCAGATCCGGGCCTTCGGTCGGTCCTGCTGTCCTCAGCTGAAGGCCAGGCTCACCAGCCACCTGCCTTGGCTAACCAACATCCCCTCCCATCCCTAGGTCTCCTTTGGATGTCAAGATTAAGAAATCTCTCAGAGCCCACTTTCTGTTTCTTCAGTATCTTTTCTTTGCCCAGTCATAGGAACCTGCAGAATTGTCTGGGTCTCAGGTCCCCCAGACACATTCCCCCAACCCCACATTCAGTCTGCACCAGTAAGCTTAAAGGGATCCTTGAGTCTGTACGGCCCAGACTGCACTTCAGTGTGTGGGTGCCCAGAACCAACAGGGTGTGGCCCAGCTGGAGGCTGATAGGCCCCAGGAGTCCCCTTTGCCCAGACAAGAAGGAGGGAGCAGGTGGAGGGTTGCGGGGCTCCAGGTGTGCCCTGCGCCGCCTGCTGATAATGGGAGTCCAGGGACGTGGGGGTGTCGCACCTGTTCCACTTGGCGTCTCTGGCCAGCACGCCCCGCCTAGGAGATCCCGGGGGACCCGACTCCCCGTGGGGGTGGGGCGGCCCTGGGTCCCTGGCGACGCGTCCCGGCGCGGGGCGCGGCAGGGACGACGGGGTTCCGGCGCGGTGCGGACGACACGCGCGTCTCTGCGGG